CACTGCTGGAAGGGGAGGACATCACAAAGTATCGCAGTGTGGTTGGAAGACTCATGTATCTGGCAGGAGAGAGGCCAGACGCCCAGTTCAGTATCCAAATCCTGGCCAGAGGAATGGCAAAACCAACCCACTCAGCAAGCGTGGGTAAGAATGTGGCATGTGTGCCCGTACTTGCAAGGCACCGTGGGCATTGAAGAAAAAGGGCCAATCTGCCATGGACGTCAGAGAGGAGTTCGAGGTGGAGGACAGAGAGAAGCACTTGGTCGAGGTGGTGAGTGGTGACTGATGCTGAGTGCGCAGGAAACGCGAATGATAGAAGAAGTACCACCTCATTCCAGATTTTCCTCGATGGGAACCTGATGGAGTCAAGACAGAAAGCAATAGACCTATCTTCATGTTCTGTGCGTACGAAACGTGTGTCTCGGCCCCCGGTGATGCAGGGGCAGGCCACGCGAAAACGCGAAAACCGCGAAAACGCGAAAACGGCGAAAACGGCAAAAAACGCGAAAACGGCGAAAACGCGAAAACGAAAGTAAGAGCCTGTTGGAGTGGAGTCAGAAAAGCATGCCCGAGATTGATCTGGGATTGGAGGTTGTTGTCTTGATGTTGATGATTCGGGAATGGTGGTTGTCACAACGACTATTATAAAACTAGTGCTTGGACTTATAGGGTATATATATATATAAATGATACCCCCCCCAAAGATCTACCATTTTTATTTGTTTCACGGGTGTGGATGCTCATCCATCAATTTATTGAAAGGGGAGTACCATGTAAATATATATATACACATGTCTTATTGTATGCTAACTGTTGAGATGCTCCCTGCACATCATTGGTTGCAGGGAAGTACGCGTACTGTACGCGTACAATGGTCAATGTTTACTGTACGCTAACTGTTGTGATGCTCACTGCACATCATTGGTTGCAGGGGAGTACGCGTACTGTACGCATACAATGGTCAAACCAAGAAACCAAGAACCAAGATTGCACAGACCTATGAAAATGAATCTTGGTTCTTGGTTTCTTGGTTGGACTATTGTGCCTACAGCACGCTTACAAATGAATCTTGGTTTGGGGTGTGTCCTTTTTTGAGACCCAGGTCATCCAACTTGTGTAATGTGCATTGGCTGCATCAAGCCAAGATTCCTGACAAGAGTTGTGCTCAATCTTGTTTTGTTTTGTTGTTTTGAGCAATGTACGCGTACAAAGCGTTTGTACGCGTACTTTCCTGAAACCAACATGCAGTCAGCATCTCAAGGGTCATCATGCAATAAGACATGACACAAATATATCAAAGTATGACACGACTATAGTCCCATCAGGTTATTTTGATAAAAACATTGTAGGACTATAGTCCCATCAGTTTATTTTTTGAGTAAAACACTGATACAACAAAACTGATAGAGATTGACAGGACTACAGCCCTTACATGGGCATTTACACAGACTAAATTCATACCGGTTTTTATGAGTTTGATAGTTGGAACATTACAGGGATGACATTGACATTAGCAAAATATCTAGTTTTACATTGTATACGGAAGTGAAGGCATCACATGTTTTTCAATAAGAAGTATAACTTAATATATGGAAAGTGTTTGAGAAAACTATTGGAAGCAAACAACGAAAAATATTTTGTTACAAAACTCCTTCATTCAGTCATTCATTCATTCATTCATTCATTAGGTCAATTATGACCAGATTGTTAATGAACTATGGGAAACCGATCTTGCTAAAGATGACAAAAAGAAAATAGGGAACATCACAACACCGCACAGAAGTTACAGTTTCACACTTTGAGGGAGGCTTGCCATTACCAGAGGGAGTTTGGAGGAAGGGTTTGTGCCATACAACAAGAAATAGAAAAAAGAAGAAGAAACAAACACACAGTACCTATTGCATCTTAAACACAACCAATCGAAATGAATTTTGCAATGGGCCTAGAGATATAAAAGAGCTGCTTCTTCAATATCATAACTTTTCAATGAATGCAGCGTAATCATTTTTCAGAAAATGATATTAAGACCTATTCAGTGGAGAGTGATGCCTTCAGGATCCATGCAGACGGTTTGACTAGAGTGATGGGTGAACCCAATCATGTTATAAAATCATGTCAGACTGGAGTATTGAACTTTGAAGAAGGCATAGGCAAGTGGAGACTGACAAACAAATCAACCAATTTCCAGCCAATAAGTACATATTTTGATATAATGACTTAATTGAAATTCCAAAACTAGAAAATGAACCAACAGAGGTGGTGGATGAATGGGACAACCCCGGAATATGTAAGCAAGTTGAAAAACAAAGCCCCTGCATGATCAGATCAAAATTTTCTGGATCGAGTTACACAGGTCAGTAGCTTTAAAAGGTGCATAAACAAATTTTGTTTGTAGAGCCTTATATCTGGTTCAGTCAAAAAATATAGGGTGACGCAACAACCCATAACATTTTTAAGAATTCCAGTTCATAAGCAGGATGAACTACCAGAGTTTGATCATAGCAATTTTCATGTCATTTTCCTTGATGAAATCTGTATGACCAATCTTTTATTTTTAAACTTTACTGAAAAGCACAAGGACAATAAAATCATCATAGGCGCCGGTGATACAAAACAGTTAGAACCCATCAATGATTTAACTAACACCCAGTCAAAGACCACAATATGGTCAAAATTGTGCTCAGTTTGTTCTCTGAAATCAGTGAAATTGTCCAAAAGGTTCATTGATATCTGAAAATATCACCTAAACAGGCATGCAACAGGCAAACAAGGTAGATTTTGGGGGGGGTAGCTACATATAATATATATATATATACAAAAGACATCCAAGGTTGGACACTATATAGGCGCCTCCTGCCACATCCTGTTGTTGGGCCTCTTTTGAGTTGAAAACCTTCGAAAGTGGCGAAGACCACGAAAACGACGACTGCGCGAAAACCACGAAAACGGCGAAAACGACAAAAACGTGCAAACGGCGAAAACAGCGAAAACGCGAAAACGACGAAAGTGGCGAAAACGGCGAAAACGACGAAAACGGGAAAACGGCGAAAACGACGAAAACGGGAAAACGGCGAAAACGACGAAAACGGCGAAAACGACGAAAACGGCGAAAACGACGAAAGCGGCGAAAACGGCGAAAACGGGAAAACGGCGAAAACCGTTTTCTTGCTTTTCTCGTTTTCACGCTCAAAGACAAGACAAGCAAGAAGACGTAAGAAAACTGGAAAAAACTTCCACACGGCAAAACGCGAGAACGGTTTTCTCGGTTTTCTGGTTTTCTCGGTTTTGCCGTCGCATCGCGCGGGCCACGACGCAGGTTTTGTGTTCTTAGTCTTCATGAGAAGCAGAGTTTGTGGCCATAGTTGCACGATCCTCGGATGGACTTCTTATCTGGCATTTGTGGATGACTACGACAGGAGAGCCATGTAACACGAAGGTTCGCTAAGATAGCTCAACTTCAAGAGCGATGGTGCAAAGACAGGGAATTGGACGTGTCCGACACCTTGACGCTGCGCTGCTAAGGAGAAGATCTTCCGTGTGGGAGCAATTAGTACAGAGTTGAACTGTGCTGACATTGGCGCGAAGAGTCTCAGCAGGAGAAGGCTGTTGGTCTACTCTACATGCTGTAGATGATCAACAGCATCGGAGATCACGTTGGAGAAGAGGAGTTCCTTGAGTTGGAGCACAAGGAACGCGTGCGAAAGGGAACCAAGAAGATCCTGAAAGGAAAGGACCTACATGTGGGATTGCGCTGGTTTTGGCCAATTTGCATGACGCTGCAGGAGCAAGCCTAGAGGGACAAGATCAAGGCAGTGAGTGGCATTCGGATATTTTCACCCCCTGCGCAATCTTTGGGGCCTTGAGCATCTTTGGATGGTTGCGGCACTACATCATTGAAGGCTTCTTGGTCACTGGCTGGCACTATTGAAAGAGGTGACGAAGGCTGCTCAGGAAGGAGAGCCTGATGGAAAGGCTTGAGAGGGACAGTGTGGGCACTCAAGCCGATTGTTGGCTGGATTTGGCGGCCTTGGAATGCTACGAAAGACGCGGTGACATGCAAAATGAGATCAGCAAGAATGAGCTCTACATCGAGGAACTCCAGAACGAGATCAAGGACGTTCGTGCACAGAGGGGTCAGTTCCTTCAAGAACTCAGGATTTCGGAAGCATATGGACGCCGGCTGCTACAGCAGACCACTCAGTGCAGAGTTGATCCACTTCCACGAAGCCTGCCCCCATTTTGCAAGGGCACGGCATTACCCCATGTGTGCTAGGTGCTTGAGCGGTGGGGCGGTTTTTGAACATAGTGAGACGACAGCGGATGACTGGGACACCCACTCGAGCACCAAGGGCACAAATCGAGAAGTGTACCTTTTCCTAACATTCAGGCACAAGCCGAGCAAGGCATCGCGCTTCGCACAAAAGCAAATTGAGATCTGCGCAGGGAATTATTCAGCAACCGGTATCAACCCAACTAAAAACGATGGCCGGCTCAAACCACTTGTTGTACAAAATAGCCTGTTGCTTCGGCTAAGTGTGTTGTTGGTTTAAGCGGGCTATGGCACACGAAGCCATCAACGCTTTTGCAGCATCCCCATCTCTACATCGGAAGAAAAGCTTCATACGCCGCCCATTAGAATCAATGAAAGGCATCACCCTGTTTCTCAATCTTTGTTACGTCTTTTTCTCCGCGCACATACACTGTGCATATCTGTGGAAAAAATGTCATTTCGCCAAGGTTTTGCAGCTCCCTACTCTCAGTCACAACACCATAGGAGACCTCCCTGCTAGTAGCAGCACCATAGTGTCTCTCAACTACCATCGCATATGCTTGTAGTCTGACAGAGTGCGTCATGGTGTCACGTCGTTCGTTTTTTTATTGAAGTGGTAGCATTTTGCGAGACATGTAAGTTCAAAAAAAAAGGACACCCTGTTTGCTCTTTCTATGCGTGCATGGAGACATGTGAGGAGCAGTGCCCAAAGGAAGCACTTTCCCCGTGCCTGCAGCACTATTGCAGGAGGCCTGATGTGAACTTTGTCGGATATGCGGATGAGCTGAGGGGTGTAGCCGCCTGCAACAGCCACCAGTTCAAGTCCAACAAGTCCTGCTCCAACTGCGAAGCCAATCCATTTGGTTGCCTCAGGTGTCCAGATTTGAAGCTGACGCGAGCTTTCACAAGACAATGGGACACACACACACAATCCCAAATTCTTGGGGGTGCAGAGTTTGGTCTGGGCCCAGGCAGTTGGAGGGTTCGTATCAAGTTTCTTGGCACCAAACAACCAAGAAGTTCCAACTTCGCAGAGAAATTGATTTCAAAAGGCTTGGAGTTTTGATATGTGTTGATCTTGCAAAGGACTTGCTTGCCTGAGAGCCCCAAACAAGGGAGTTCATCAAATGCTTATCTTTGCACTCAATGCTCAACTTGAATAGTGGGGGAAGGCCTATTGAGGGAACTGATGTGTAGATCTCGGTGGTCGCCGTATCATTAAAAAAATCCAGGTGGCATAGAGGAGACATATTCCGGTCACTACCCAGTCCTTCATCGTATCAGCTGGCTCGCTGAGGAAAGGTGCAGTGTAGAGAAGCACGGTTTTGGCAGTAGATACTTCCAAGGCATTTGAGTCCTTGGATGTCGATTCAGTTTTCAACATCATTCAGTATCCCTGACACAAAGAGGCTTACTCTCCTTTAAGGCCTTTGAAGTAAAGTAACATCCACAACATCTACTACAATATTGAAGAACAACGAGCTTCCATCGTCACACATCGAGCCAAATTCTGCACCAACAGAGTCCAAAGGCACAGCTGTTGCCAGAGTGCCCAAAGCTCCCAGGCAAAGTCACCGCCATGATTGGTTGAAATCCAGCCATTCACAACGGCCACGGCCACAATGTCCGCACACACAAGATGGTAGCATACGATGCCCACAGTGAAATACACACTTGGACCTTTGAACGGGTGCCTCCCATCGTCCGTGGCTAGATCCTGGATCTCTGTATCACTTGCAGCCTCCGAATCTACATTCTGCAGCAGTTCGTAGGTGCTGCTCTGTTGTGACTGTGAGTCTGCTCCAGCTGTAATGATAATGCACATTTTGGTGAGACGAAAGAACTGCCGCATCGCTTCGCATGTGCCAGCCATGACAACTGGTGACAACCTGATGTGTCGATAGAACTTCAAAGGAACTATTGCGTATTTAAAAATACGTGACGGTAACGTTTGTCCTCTCCCACAGTGTCCTGCAAAACAGAAGCCAAGCGTGTTTTGTCTTCTCATGTCTTCCCCCAAAAAGTGCACTAAATAGCTGAGCAGCAAAAGGACAGCACCCCAGTAGTGAAGCCTTGCGGAAGACTCCTCTTCATCAATCTCCAAAAGCTTTGGGAGAAATCTGGGAGGAGGTTCCGTCAGGATTGGTGGGAAGTATTCCAGGTGGCAATGGATGTCCAAACCGCATTCCTTCCTCACTGACCAAGTGACGTTAAACCAAATCAATGGAGCTATCAAAACCAAAGGCCATTGCAAGCTTTGTTCCAAGCGGCCGAAAGGGGAAGGACAAAATATTAAAGCAGCAAACCCGGACTCTACCAAAACATGTGATTGCAGGGTTGTGGCAATGCAACTCAGAACATATCAAACAGGCATTGTCACTATTTTAGTTCAAGGCTTCTGCGTACCAAGGGATTGAGGGGTTGTCCCGCGTGCCCGGATACCAAGTTTGCGGATGGGCAGCAAATGGCAGCAATCAAGCATGGTGAGTTGTGGAATGGATCTTTGCTGTTTGCTCAAGTTAGAGTAGCTTAAACTTTGACTTATGCCGTGTCCAAGTGCAAAGCGAGCATCCGCACATTCACCATCCATTTTAGAAGTCCCACCACATTTGGAACCGGAATCAGCATGATGTGCATGGCCAAGAGTGAAACGATGAAACAAATATAGCCATACAATTGCCTGCAAAGCCAAAACTTGAGAGAAGCAACATGGTGCAGCATGCGGCGGTGGCTCCTTTTGTTCAATTTGTTGTCCTATTTACCACAAGCAAAACGTCCTATGATTCGTCATATTGTCTCTTGTGCGGCACTCTCAAGCTGCCTAAGACGAAGTCGGTGAAAAGCCAAGCGACTTGATTCTCCGAACTGGTCAAACGTTCTGACCTCAGAGGCCCATGGGTGATGTGAAAGAACTGAAATACAGAGCAGTGGAAGAAGGATGACTGTGAACAATGAAATGGCTGCACTTCGGCTGCTAGGAATTTGGCCTGAGAAGACTCTAGAGACTCTAGTATATAGATCTGGCTAGCAGTCAAAGGGTGAAGGCCACATGGACAAAAACACATGCAAAGGATTGCAAGGGTATATTCACAAGACTACCTCACCGTGGCGATTGAGCATGTAAGGGATTCCAGGATAGCTGTTCCCCACCATTTTCACAAATACCCGCACAACGAGATGATGATAGAAGGGCGAGTTCACACAAGTCAACCCAAAATGACACAAGCTGCACTTGAACTGATCCCCAAATCTAGCCCATGCTAAATCCAATGAAGGACAATACTGGCTGAACCCAAAGCGCTATCAAACATGTCTCCTGGTGGCAGAGGGGTGAAGGGCTTGCTTGCATTACATATGTTAGAGACGCCCCTATTCTCGCTCCCCATTTTGCGCTCGGTCTCTTGAAACAGCCTCATGCTGGTACTTGACCATGGTGCAAATCACAAGCAGCCCAAGCCCTCAATCGCGGTCAGTGGCTTGGCGAAGATAGAATTCAATTTCTGCTGGAGCAAAGCCAGCCCTTAGGCAATCGTCTTTAGAAAAGCCTGCAGCGAGACACTCCCCGGCCGAGAAGCCAACATCCTTGCATTGAACGGCACTAAAGCCAGAAGACTTCCACTCTTGAGCGAAAAAGCCCGCCGCCTTGACCTCCGTTTTCAAAAAGCCTGCTCCTATACAATCACTGACCGAGAAGCCAGCGGCCTTGCACTCTCCTGCAGAGAAGCCGCCAACCTCCATGCACTGTCGGGCAGTAAAGCCTGCGTATTTGCAATTGACTGTCATGTGTCCAAGGTTAAAAAGCTCTCTGGCAGAAACGCCCTTGTGTAAATAGCTGGCGATGAGTTTGCATCTGATTTCCTCACCGTTGTCTGTTCCCAGGATACCCAGTAGCCATTCTCTCCGTAAGTCTTTGATTGGATTGAACAGGTCCGATTCACCGACATTGAGCTGATTCAGTAAGTCGCTGGATGGCTTATCCAGAAAGCCTGCTAGAACATCTTTCAGATCTGTAGCACTGATCACCGAAGCCGTCGACAGCTGCTTGATCACGGCTTGCTGATCCTTTTCAGACTCTAGTAGGGTATTCAGCCCTGTCTCGACTGCAGTCCATTTCTGGTGAAGGAGAAGCTTTTGAAAGGAAGGGATGATCAGCCCTTTTACAATGCTCACAATGGCAGAACACCCCGCAAATCCCACGCCTGCTCCCCTACTGTATCGTAGTACCAGCAAAGTGGCAAAGAACCCTTGTGGCCAGTTTTCTGCCCAAGCAATGAGAAGCCGCGAACTGCTCAGGAGGCCCACAAAAAGATTGGTGGTCTTCTGAGCCATCCGCTCCCTCCATGTTTGAGGTACAAAGTCCGTCTCCTTCAATGGCAATTCCAGAATAGCCCTGTAGATCTTCCGGAGATCTGCTGCGCAATCTTCATGCAGATTCACTAAAAGGTGGGAGTAAACGATTACATAAACAGAAAAAGCTGCCAAGACACCGCCGTCAGTCAAACATTCGTACAATGCCTCTGAGTATGTGGATGATGATGGCCCAATTACTATCTGAATGCATGAAATGGAAGTAAGCGCGATCATAGATAAACTAAACGTAGTGGACCAAGTGCCGTCGCCGTCCCTTTGGTTGTCGCACAGACAGAAAAGAGTGGCAGCAAAATAAGGCAAAAATAACATATAGTGTATTTGCGTCGCAAGAAGTAGAACATAGAGCACCTGCAAATGCTGAAAACAGGCCCAAACCATCAATGCTTGGAATGAAGAAGCAGTCACTCAAGGTTTGATAAAAAATAGTCAAAACCACATCATGAATATGCAGTTAAAAAGTGTCAGGCACCTGCAACACAATCAAAGGAGGACTGATCCGCAAAGAGTCAGAAATGCGACACCACCGAGGAATCAAACCTGTTTGGATCAAAAGCGCATCAAGCCCAACAACTGATGTACCAATGGCGAAGCCCGTCCAGGTCTCAGCATGGAGGAAGCAAATTCCAGTCACCACCCAATCTTTCATGGTGTCGCAGGGCTCACTTAAGAAAGGCACAGTATAAAGCAAAATCGTTGTGGCAGTAGATGATTCCAAAGCTTCTCCATCCTTAGATATGTGCATCATTGAAAGTCAAGGCTGCTATATCCGGACATAATCAGGTTCCTCTTTGATTCTTCATTGGTAAGCACACACGCACATTGTACATGGACAGGGGAAAAGTAAATCCAAGCTTCCATGATCACACATCGGGTCAAATTCTGCACAAACAATGTCCAAAGGCACAGCTGTTGCCACAATGCCCAAAGCTCCCAGGCAAAGTCGCCACCGTGATCGGTTGAAATCCAGCCATTCAAAACGGCCACGGCTACAATGCCCGCACACACAAGATGGTAGCATACAATGCCCACTGTGAAATACACACTTGGACCTTTGAACGGATGTCCATCTGTGCCTGGAGCCTTCTGTGTCTCTCCGTCGCTGCCCTCCAAGTCACTTGCACTTCCAGCTTGAACCAGCTCGTATTCATATCGTGTCCGTGAGGTTTCTGCAGCGATTCCTGGAGATGTTCCTTTCAGCGTTCTGAAGCAAATGCGTAGAGTTTCACATATGGAAGTCATCACAATTGGTGACAGCCTCACTCATCCAAATTGAACTACAAAAAACAAATTATGTATATATATATATATACCTAGAACCTGATTGACCCCTGTTTTGGAGCCAAAACGTGGTCTTTTCCTGTCAAAACAGAGGTCAAATGGGTTCTAGGTAGGAGGTCATCTCCTTGCTTGGAACCTCCCCGCTCAGGAGCTCGCTCAGGGCCAGGCTCACAAAGTAAGCTCTGTCCACACAGTCATCGCAGGACATGGCTTCGCTGGACAGGGTGCTTCTGCAGACCCGTGTGGATCTGTTGCTGCGCCAGTCGATGACATTGCACCGGGCGTTGACTTCGGTGCAGTGGGTGAGCAAGACCAAACATCCCTGCTGTGAGGAGCATTGTTGTGCATTGGCCCATGAGGCGTCTGCGTAGCCCTTTGTGGTGTCCCGGCAGTACTCCAAGGTCTCGTAGAGCATTGCCAAGTCGGCCGGGCTTGTGTCACTGCCCTTGTTGGCCAAGGACACCCATGCGCCAATGTCTGGGCGCGTCTGGCTCGAGAGCCATTGGAGCGATCCGGTGACTGACCGGAATTCGGCCTGCTGTCCACCCTGGCTGATCCTTCCTTTCTGCAGCTTGCCTGCGTCGGTGTTGTCGATGAACTTGGTCTGAGTGACCAGGAGGTGGTCAGTGAGCTCCAGTTCCTTCCCCTTGAACTTGAGAGGTTCTTGGAGGCTGAGTTGCTTTTGGCTGGCCCATGAGAAGAGCTGAAGCAGTTCCTCCTTGTTGTAGTCACTGCGGCAGGTCAGGAGGAAGTCGTCTACATAGACGATGCAAACTGCCATCAGCTTGTTGTGCTGCCTTTTGTAGAAGAGCATCCGGTCGAGGTGGTGCTGGACGAAATGGATGGAGGTCATCCTGCGCACCACTTCTTTGAACCAGGTGCGGGGCGCCGAAGCGAGCCCGTATGTGTTCTTGAGCACCTTGTGCAATCTGGCTTTGAACGTGCCAGCTTTGATGGTGATCTCGTCCCGTGGTGGCAACAGGTATAGGGCTTCGGGCCTTTCGTGTTCTTCGAAGGTCCCCTGCATGAAAGCCGTGGAAACGTCTCCGGCCCACAAAATCCAGTCCACCTGCTCGTGCTCCATGAGCTTGTTGGCACCTGCAGTGTAGATGCAGAGTAGGAGGTACTCTGAGGTGCGCATTGGAGTGGAGCTGTCCCTGGAGATCCGGTGAAGATCTGGGTCCAGGTGGCCGAGTGCCACGACTCTTGCCTTTGCAGTGAGCACTCCAGGAATCCTGCTTTTGTTTCGATAGCAGGCTCTGCTTCTAAGCACTCGCTTGCGGCGGATGGGATGCGACACAATTGCCGCTGCTTCATCATCATCCACAGGTTCAACTGAACCCCAACTCATCCATCCCCGCTCCTCCTTCTTGGCCAATTCGATGAAGGCCTGAATATCCTCTGGGCTCATCTTGAGAATTTGGCGCCATGGAATTTCACGTTCCAGGGCCTTGGCTTCTTTGCGGCTGTTGAGCCTTGATGCAGGATCGATTGGCTGGTCAGGATCTGAGGATTCTGCATCTGACTCGCCGGCGGCTTGGAGGTCGGTGAGGAAGACAGAGTGTCCCTCTTGTTCATAGGCCCAACATAGGCCCAACCTAGGCCAACATAGGCCTAACATAGGCCCAACATAGGCTCAACTTGGGCCCAAGATGTGCCCAACATAGACCACATGGGCGCAACTTGGCCCAACCTAGGGCCAATAGCTTAACTTTGCTCAATATAGGCCCCACCAAGTCTCAAAGAAAGAGAGAGCGAGAGAGAGAGAGAGATGTCAAGAGACAAGTTCATTTACAATAGCCTATTTACTCTCTCGTACTGTTCATGTACAATTGCACGGTGCTATACACTGCACCTTGGATCGAGGCCTTGAGCCTAAGGACAATTGCCAGAGGAAAACAATACAGAGACGTGCGCAAACAAACGACAAACAGCTGCTGAATTTTACATGGTAGCGGAGCAAGGATCCTGGTAACAACAATCCAGGTGAGCTCCAATACAACAACAGGCACAAGCCAACAAACACACAACAGAGAGCAAGCCTTGACCCTACAATAGGTAGCTTGCACAGCTGCAACAATGGCAGCACAACAAGCAGCAGCTCAAGCTGGAGATGGACTGCCTCCAGTTCCAGAAGATGAGACAACAGCAAACATAGCAAACATGAACAGATACAAACTCAAACCACCCTTCTTCAATGGAGACTATGGCACGTTCGAGGAGTGGAAGTACAAGTTCACAGCATACATGGGATTGCAAGACAATGATTACACAGAACTACTACAAGCAGCAGAACGAGGCACAGCAGAGCTTACAGAGGTACAACTACGAGCAGCGGCAGCAACAATCGAAGATGGGGAACGACACGTTCGCCTCAGCACAAACTTGAGGTACATCCTCATCAACACAACAACAGGAGCTGCAGCCACAGTCTGCAGACAATACCAAAACACAATTGGCTTCGAGATGTACAGACAATTGTGCATCCGCTTCTCCATTCCATTGGGGACAAGATCCATAGGACACTTGACAAGACTGCTGAAGCCAACCTTTGACAAGAACAACTTCGAAGAATCATTTTCCACATGGGAATTTGAACTACAACGATTTGAGCGAGACAATGGACAAACACTCCCAGACTCAGTGAAGATTGCCGTATTGCTCAACGAGACAAGTGGACCACTACAACAACACCTACAACTGCTTTCAGGACAAAGCCCAAACTATGCACGAGTCAAACAAACCATCATCGAGTACTACAGATCAACAACAGCATTCAGCAAACTGCAACAAGTACGATCACAATCATCCAGTGTAGCAACAAGCTTTGGTGGAGGACAAGCGCCCATGGACATTGATGCAATCCACAAAGGAAAAGGTAAGTACAACAGCTACAAAGGAAAAGGTAAAGGAAAAGGAAAGAACAAAGGTAAAGGCTACGGAGGATACAACGGCTACGGATACAACAGTTACAACTTTAACCACAAAGGAAAAGGAAAGTATGGAGGAAAAGGATTCAACAACTACAACCACAGTCCGATTGGCTTTGGCAATCCATTCGGAAGAGGCAACAAAGGAAACAAAGGATTCAGCAAAGGATACAACAAAGGCAAAGGAAAGAGCAAAGGAAAACAAGCAACAGACACATGCTACAGATGTGGAAGAACAGGACATTTTGCCAAAGATTGCCGAGTGGCAATACACAACATTGGACAAGGAGAAAGCAACGACATTGAGGATGCAACAGCACAATGGTACGATGACTACTATGACAATGGATGGTACTGTCAGGACTACATGAGACCGCAACCAGGACAACAGCCATTGGCTCTACCACCAATTCCATCCAATGGCAACAATGACATGACACCAATCCATGTCATCGCCATGATCAGCAATGGCAATGACTACAAGACAGACACCACAAGCAGCGGCATAACAGACACAATGCACATTATGATCGACAGTGGAGCGGCCACACATGTCTGTCCACTATGGTTTGCAGACAACTATCCAGTGTACAAGATCGAACAAGCACAAAGCCCAAACCTCAGGACAGTGACGAACAAGACAATACAATGCTACGGCGTGAGATGGGTCTACATGCAATCAAGAGGACAACCAATTGTCATACCATTCTATGTGTGTGACATCCATGACCCAATCCTGTCAGTGACAAGACTGGCAGAACAAGGCTTTGACATCAGGTTCAACGACACTCCAACAAGGCGCCATGACAAGGGATTCAATGTTCCCTTGGTGCAGCAACACAATCTCTACTACTTACCAGCCACAGTCATGAACCTGGGACAACATCAACAACTACAGCTGAGACATACACAAGAGGGCATGATTGCAATGATTGCCCCAACAACACTGACAAGACATGGACCACAACAAGTCCTTGGAGGCAATAGCGACTATTGGAACTACAACAATGAAGGATACCTTGTACGGTATCACCGGAACAAGAGGAAAGCTCTCTTTGTTCCTGGCAACAATTGCCCAGTACCACTGGAGACATTGAGCAACTACAGACGAACAATCATCCGGCGAACCGATGGGAACAACGGAGACATTGTTGAACAATACCATGACTTAAGCAAGCATGAACAACGAAGAGTGATACAAGGAGATACATGGACCGGAGAAACATGGTTCAGAGTGAACAAGCCGCCAGCACAACCAGCACCTACAACGGCGAAGACAACAGAGAAGACAGAGAAAGCATCACAAGCAATACAGGTACAGCAACAACCCACAACACTGAGAGTCCAGGAAGGAGAAGGGACAATACACCAGGCAGGCAGAGAACCACTATACAGACACACAACGAAGAAGCCAGTACCAATGACCACAGCAGTACCTGATCCATCAACAATGACACCAACAACAGACTACTGGATCAGAGAAGGACATTATTGGAAACGAGTTCACGTACAAGCACGGACAACAATGTACGTACCACAACAGACAGATGATGGTCCAGACATTGGACGACTCAAACCGACACGGACAACATTCGTGAACAGGACGGAACAAGGAAGAGGATACACAATCCATGACAATTGGCAGGAATCAGGAGCAAGACAGCTTGATAGACAATGGACAGGATCAACAAACTTCGAGGAAGAAGCGACGTACAAGTACGAGTACGACACGGACAACGAAGAAGAATCTCAACAAGCACAACGCGCCAAAGGAATGAAGGCGCCACAACAACCAACAAGACAAGAGAGGCTAGAACATGAGCTGACACACTTACCATATCGCTCATGGTGCACAATATGTGTAAAGAGCAAAGGAAAAACAGACAATCACCCAAAACAAGCAAGCAAACAACCAGTGATACAAGTGGACTTCACCTACATGAAGGCATTTGGAGACAAACAAGTACTACCAGTACTCACGGCAATAGATGTCGAATCAGGTATGGCAATGGCAGTTCTTGTACAAGACAA